TTTTCTTGCTAACTTAAGTTTTATTGTTTGAATATTGTGTTTGACGTTATAACCATAAGAAGTTCGAACACCCTGTGGGATCAATAGTTAGGAATCCATTAGAGCCCTTTATTACTTAAGTATTACATATACTTGCATTATTATTACAGTTTGGCTGCTTGAAGATTTTAAAAGATAAAATTATTTATACTAAATTTATTTTTGTTGGGATTTAACTGTATATTTACTACTCGTGTTGTAGTTTGTATTGTCGTATTGAAAGATATTTACAACGCACCACAAAATGCCTGCATCACCACGCTATTGGACACCGCCTTCAGAGTCAGCCACCACGTGTCCCGCCTTTACAGATCCATCTATTCATCTGGCATGATATGGCTCGTATGTCCGATACATGTGCGATCGGACGGCTCCTGGTCATCGTACCCAAATGACTTAAAAAGTAAACCATTTATTTTCTAAACCTAATTTCTCCCTTGATTTTCAACTAAATCATGAAAGGTTTTTTCTTAAATCATCTTGTTGAGATGAACATATCTATATGATTACATGCTCATAAAATTAAACTTCTATTCACAATTGGTGAAACTAACCCGAAAATTAGGGTTGGTGATTTATACCCTTTTCCCAAGAGGCGAGGCCTCAATTAGGTGCTTATAGAAGCTTCAGTGGATTCCAATGAGCCTCCTAAAAGTGTCACCTTCCTCTAGAATAAGGTCCAGGCAGGATTTTGATTGAAGGGTGGCATGGGCTTAGTGTAGCCCTATGACAGATGGCTCAAATGATGGGGCATTTACTGGAGAACTTCCTCTCTTGCTCTAATGAAGCTTAAGTGTGAGTTAATTTGGGGAATTGATTGAGTTAAAGGGATGTCCATGAAAATCTTAATTTTTGAATTGGAAATTGAGGCTAACCAGTGGGAATTAGGGCAGGAAAGTGGTAGGGATTGGCTTCTCAAAGTTTCAAAGTGGTCTGGTGAAAATTTGGCAAAGTTTTGTTAGGTTTTGAGCCCTCTTCTTTATTTGATCATAGAAGGTCCTATATTTATAGAGAGGGCTCTGGTAGCCAACAGGGCATGCCATGATGGTAAGGCAGCTGCTTAGGTGGAGGGAAGAAAGTATGTGATGGCCAATTGAAGTGAGCCAACTAAAGTGAGTTGAATTTTGGGTTTTTTCCATTTGGGCCCTCTTGGTCATGGGGTTTTCCAGTGGCTGAGGTGGCCAACTGGCCAGGCTCAGGTCACCCTTAAGCTCATGAAAGTTAGTGGGACTGAGTGGTCAGCTCAATTTGGTTTTAGGTAAGCTCCAATGTGAAGATAAAGGGAAAAATGGGGTTTAGGCTAAGTGATCTTGGTTGGATTTAAACTCTTGGTCAAGTGATTAGACCTGATCTCAGAATGGTTAGGGTGCTTGGACTAACCCTAAAGAAGGTTTAGGTGAGGTCAAATGGTCAGTTTAGTCATAAGGCAAAGGTTTAATTGTTGCATGGAAGAGGGAAAGTCCAAGTAAAGGAGAGAGAGAGAGAGAGAGAGAGTGGTCACCTCTTTTTATCATTTTTTTGGCAATTTTGACTATGTGATGTCAATGGAAGGCTTTACAGGACATGGCATGCCATGTATGATGCCATGGGGAACTTTCATGCAAAAAGGAATTCATTTTTATGAAATTTTTGGGGAGAAGATTTTATCATGCCTAATTTGGATAAAAGCTCCTGCATGGTATGATTTTTATGATGCCCATGATGAACATTTAAATTAAAATGGGATAATGAGGAAATAATTTTATGTCATGTGGGCTCAATTTAGTCCTTTTATAATCAATGTCATGGGCTTTTGAAAATGCATATAGGTATGGGCTTTTAAAATATGAATGAAGTATTTAAATTGACATTAACCATGGTCTAATCAAATTAGGCTTGGTTTTGATTGAAATTGGGTAGGTTAGGAGTGAATTGGATAAAAATTGGGGGTTAATTTGATCAATTGGGTGCAAATTAGGGGTTTTCGGCCTTTAGGGGAAATTTGGGAAAATTAGGCAATTTTGGTGGATTTGGGCATAATTGAAGACATTGGGTGATTTAAATTGATTTTGGAGACATTTAGAGTGAATTTGTGTATTTTAAAAAATTTTGGAGTAATTTTAGAGATTTTGGAGAATTTAGGGGAAAAATTGGGATTTTGGCAAAAATTGGTCAATTTAGTCAAATTGGACCCATTGGGTGGTTGGGATTGGTTTAGAGGAGGTTTAGAATTATTTTGGAGGTTTTGGGAATTTTTTGGATATGAAGGTATTTTGGTAATTTTTGCAAATTTGGGGGGTATTTTGGGATTTTTTTGAAATTTGTGGTGTTAGGTTCAATTTGGGTAGTTTGAAATGGTTTGTCATGATTTTTGGAGAGAATTTGAGGATTTGAGCAACTTTTGGAAATTTAGTGTTTTAAGGGTATTTTGGTAATTTTGGTAAATTTTGGCAAAATTGGGTTTTTTTGTGGGTTTAAGGTTTAGGGGTATTTGGTCATGGGTCATGATCACACTTAACCACCTTGCAACCAAGTCTTGTCGAATGGAAACTCCTTTATGAACCTTCACATATTGGTCCTAGCCATCTCAACCAAAGGTAAGAGGCTTGGGATCATCTATGTGAGTTTCCAAAAGAGAAAATGGAAAAAGGTTCAATGAGTGTAGATTTCAGGGTTTTAGGACAAGTAGGGAATTTTGATGTGCTTGAGTGTGTGAGAGACCAAACCCTAGCCACCCAGGGTTGTCCTATGTTCAACATTCCTATTGGAACTCATCCGTGAATCCTCTGATCTCAACCTTCTAAGTGCTGGAGGTTTATGAACATCCATGTAGGGTTTCAAAGAGAGCTAGGAGGTGGTTTGAATTTTTATGTAGGTGGGATCCATCTCTAGTCTTCTAGGATAGTCAAAAGGAAAGTCCTATGGCTAGATCTTAAGCACTAAGAGGAAGGAAAGACCTCACCAAAATTACGGTCAACAGTCACCATCTTGACCCAACCATGGGACCATTTAGAGATTTTGCAACCTCATTGTTGAGAAGATTCATATGAATATAAATTACCCTATAGTATATGGCAATACCTTTCAATTAAGACCTGTCATAATTTAAAATGATTCAGCAAAACCAGTTAGAGGGGACCCATTGAAGGCCTCATCTAGACTTAGCAAACTTTTTAGAACTATGTTCCACAATTAGGTATAATAGTGTCCCCATTGTTGTTAGGCTAAAAATTTTTTTCATTTTCCCTTTAGGATAGAGCCCAAGTGTGGCCAAACTCTTTAGCCCCAGGATCTATCACCACTTGGAATGATTTAGCCTAGAAATTTCTAACCAAGTATTTCCCTCCTTCCAAGCTACCAAAACTTAGGAATGACATCACATCATTTTCATAATTTGAGGGAGAAACTATTTATGAGGCATAGGAGTGATTTAATTTGTTACTTAGGAGGTGTCACCACCATGCCTGACCCAACTAAATAATCATCAAAACCTTTTATAATGGACTTGTAGGTTCCCTTAGGTCCCTTATAGATGCCGCTGTAGAAGTTTCACTAATGTTTAAACCTTATGAGGAGGCATATAACTTGATTGAGGTGATGGCCATCAATAGATTTTAATGGCCTACTGAGAGAGTGCAACCCAAAAAGGTAGCTAATGTGCATGAATATGATGTCCTGAATAACTTACCTAACAAGTTTCTTTCATGTCTAAGAAATTTTAAAATCTGTGAATTACATACAGGTCCCACCCCAGGTAGAAAATTTTAGTGATGAAACTTTGATAGACCCTAACACCTCAGCCTTAGAAGCCTTGAAAGCCATAGAAAACCAAAACTAGGCCAACAACCCAAATTCAAATACATACAATCCTTGATGGAAACAACACACTAACCTTTAGTGGAACAATAATAACCAAGAATATTAAGGGGGAGGATCACATAACCATTTAGTCAAAATTTCAACCCAACTCTTTGGATTCAAACCAAATCAGAATCAAAAGCTAGCCACTTTGTATAAGTTAGTGAGATAATTACATTTGATAACACAAAGTCATAGGATAATAATTAAGAACATTAAGGGATAATTGGGGTAACCAATGAATTGTTTTAACCATAGGATCTCACCATAGGACCCTTGGAGCACTCCTTAGTAACACTGAAGTAAACCCCAATGCGAAAAGGAAGAAGCAAATTTAAGGTGTAAAATTAAGGAGTGGTAGGGAGTTAGATGAAACTCTGAGAGTTTTGAACACCCACATAAATGTGGAATCTGAGTTTGAAAAAGAGGAGGAAAGACCAACTGAGGAAATTGAAAAACCCAAAACCCCACAGAAGAAAGAACCTAAGAGACTGCCACTCTCATTACCTCAGAGGTTGCATAAAAAAATTGGATCAATAATTTTCTATATTTTTAGAGGTCTTCCCAAAGTTAACCACAAACATTGCTTTAGGTGAAGCCTTAGAACAAATGCCTAGTTATGCCAAATTCAAGAATGATGTGCTTACTTAGATGAAGAAATTAGAGAATGGAGAGATAGTGGCATTAACAAAAGAATGTAGTGCAATTTTGCAAAAGAAGTTACCTAAAAAGATGAAGGACCCCAGTAGTTTCACTATCCCATGCACCAAATGAGATAAATTTGTTAGGAGGGACCTTTGTGATTGGGGAGCTAGAATTAATTTGATGTCACTATTAATTTTTAAAAGACTTAAACTGAAAGAGGCTACACCCACCCACCCACCCTGACCTTACATTTAGCTTACTAATCCTTAGTCATTCCTTTGAGTATCATTAAGGATGGGTTGATTAAAGTAAGAAGCTTCATATTCCCTGTTGATTTTTTAGTCTTGGACATGGAGGAGGACAAGGAGATTCCTCTAAGTTTAGGAAGACCCTTCTTAGCCACCGATAAGGCAATGATCAATGTACAATAAAGGAAATTTACCATAAGGGTGAATGATGAAGAGGAAAAATTTGATATCATGAAGACTATGAGATTCCCCCATGATCCAGGTGATGATCATTGCTTTAAAATTGACTTAGTTGATGAGGAGGTGACTAGCCAATTTTCTAAAACTTTGGAAGATGACCCAGCAAAGCAAGAGGTGTTTGAGGATGAGACAGACAAATCTAGTGTTGAATATGCTCTACTTATAGAGGGTGACTCTAAGAGGTTCATGGAGAGGTTTGAACCCTTATACTTGACTTTGCACATCAAGCCCCTACCACCATCCACAGAGGTAGCTCTGAATATGGAATTGAAAGCCCTTCATACTCACCTGAAGTATGCCTACCTAGAAGAGCCTTTGACTGTACCTTTAATCATATCTGTGGACTTGACTGTGGAGCAAGAGGACAAACTTATGAGGGTGCTGAGAGAGTTTAAGAGGGCATTTTAGTGGACCATAGTTGACGTCAAAGGAATAAGCCCATCTTTGTGTATGCATAAAATTCTGATGTAAGAGAGACATGTGCCTAGAGTTGACGCATAGAGGCGACTGAATCCCATCCTTAAGGAGGTAGTAAAGAAGGAGACTTTAAAGTGGCTTGATGCAGGAATTATCTACCACATATCCGATAGTGCTTGGATTATTCCAATTCATTGTGTACTAAATAAATGGGGTTTTTAGTTGTGGAGAATGAAAAGAATGAGTTGATCCCACAAGGGTTGTTACAGGATGAAGGACCTGCATTAACTATAAGAAGTTGAATGCCGCTACTAGGAATGACCATTTTCCCCTGCCTTTTCTTAACCAAATGTTTGATAGGTTAGCAGAGCATCCTTTCTATTGCTTCTTAGATGGATATTCAGGATACAACCAAATCCCATAGCCCCTAAAGACCTGGAAAAGACCACCTTCACTAGCTTCTATGGGAATTTTAATTTTAGATGGATGATATTTGGACTATGCAATGTGACAACCACTTTCCAGCCCTACATGGTCTCTGACATGACTCATACAATATAAAGGTCATTATGGATGACTTTTCTGTGTTTGGTACTGATGCAATGTTTTTGTGTATGCGTTGTAAATATATTTCAATACTGCAACACACACATGGAAACACAATTAATAAATATGCAGATAAATCATAATAAAAATCACTTCAGTATAAATAATTTTATATTTTCAAATCTTTAAGCTACTAAACCTAACAATTATGCAAGTATATGTATCTCATAGGGAGATGGAAATTCTTATGATTATAATGTAAAACACAATATTTAAACTATAAAAACTTAAGTAAGAAAAATAAATCTAAAGTAAATTAATGTATGCTAAATGTATGCTAAATGAAATGTGTATGCTAAATGAAATGTAGCTAAAAGAACTAAGTTAACTAAGCTATTTTTAAAATTCAAATTTAAACTTACTAAGACTAAACAAAGTATTGTAACGAAGAGTTAAAATTTAAGAAAGAATCCTTCCACTTTACAATGAGATTATGGTTAGTGAAGTAATTAAAATCATTTAAAATTATATATATAAATATATTCTGCCAAATAGGAGCAATCATATTCTTTATCATCTGTCAAGTGCATAAAGAATATTGGTCAATCCAGAGTTTGGTCCTAAATCTGTGGTTAGGTTTAGAGGAAACTAGCTCCCACTTCTCCCTCCCCTGATGGCTAATAATCTCGCTTTAGTTTCCAAGCAACTGGACCAAATTGGTGATTTTAGTCTGTCACCCTAAAATCTCCAATTCTACGCCCATCAAAATATATTTCTCTATTTATTTGCACTCAATCTCATAGATTACATTCTCACTCATAAAATTAAGTGTGACTCTTACCTTGTTGTAGAAAGCATAACCCTTTTGGATATTATGTTTCTCAACAACTTTTAACATTTTAATTTGTCAGATCAAAAAGTAAATGAAGATCAAAGTTCAAATCATCATAATTTATTGACATTTAAAACCTTGCACAACAATATTAATTCTTCACAAAACCATATCTCATTGTAGGGAGAAGGATAAAGAAGACTACTCAGAATTAATGAGAAGGATACGACAAAGCATGGATTTTATATATAAAATCAAGTTTACAAAACAAACAAAGGAACAAACACAATTTATCTTACACTCCTCAGTCAAATCCCTTGAAGTTTGCTTGAAGATTCTGGAGTTCAACACTCCTCTTGAGATTCTGGCACCTCTTGAGATTCTGGCACCTCTTTCACCTATTTACTGTCACCTTTTTTTCTCCTTTTACAACTCTAGAAGAAAATCCTCTCCGAAACCTAACTCTACTCTCAAAACTTCTCACGCCAACTCTTCACACCACCACATGCCACTCACTCTCACCTCTCACATAAACACCACTCAAAGACCTCTTAGACTACTCTTTTAATTTGGGGCGCCAGCCTCGTCTTCAAAGGAATTCAAAGTTCCCTCTCTTTTTTCCAAGAGGCACACCTCTTTACATCAAGAGACAAATCCCTTCATCCACAGACATATCTCTTCATTCAAGAGCCTTTCCAAAGTGTCTATATGCATTGAATCACTTCATGGGTCATTTGAATTACTTGGAGCCTTCTAGAACCTCTCAAAAATAGTCAATAACTACCACAATCCGTCTTAATTTGTCTCCTATGTCTGTTCTAGTGTCTCTTGCACCAGTTTATTGGAGTTTTACGTTGTTCTCTGGATTCGGGCGCCTCTAGCGCCTCTTCTCTGTAACATGGCGCCTCTGGCACCGGGATGCTGAAAATCTGCATTTTGACGCCAAATTTCTTCATTTTTGCTCCTTTTTGCTCCAAATGCCTAAAATCAATATACCTGCAACAAAACATGAAAATGCCCTTCTTTAAAGTGTAATATCACAAAAGCCCTTCTTACAAAACATGAAAATGCCCTTCTTTAAAGTGTAATATCACAAAATTTAACCATAAAATGTATCCATAAAATTGCATATTTTTTTGTGTATCAAAATCCCCAAAACTTAAATGTCAATTATCCTCAAGTGATTCTTTTACTACATAAAAATATGGTTTATGGTAGATATTAACATATAAACTTCTATAATTTAGTTTAATAAATATAATAGTATAACTTAAGAAAAACTTTTAATAACTTTGGTTAAAACTAAAAGTATAAGAACACCTAGTGGTCAAGTCTAAGATTTTTGAGTCTCCATTCATTTCAAGAAGAATTTTTAATAACTTCGGTTAAAACTAAAAGTATAAGAGTACCTAGTGGTGAAGTTTAAGATTTCTGACTCTCTATTCATTTCAAGAAGAACTGTAATTTGTCATATCAAAGATACTTAGAATGTCCATATGAAAAAGAATTTCATGAAAACTTTATTAGTAAGGATGCTAATATTCAAATACAAGTCTATAAAATGTAATAAAACCTTTTTCATTAAGTTGATTCAGATTAGGCATCTACTCAAGCTTCTCCTTACATATTTTTCTTTTTTTTTCTTTTCTTTTTATTTAGGATTATTTTCAATGCTTTCTTTTCTTTTATTTTTTTTTCATGTGAGGATTACTATATCTGGATAGCCTTTAATAATTTTGAACTTCACTATCCTCTTCTTGATGTTAGAAACTTCTTACTATCCTTCACTTTATAAATTCATATTAGCTTTGAATATTTTTTATAAAGTCTAATTCTTTTCTTCTTATATGAAACTCTAAGATTCTTAATACTTCAAAAATACAATTTTCTTTACTTTAAATAGAAAAAGCATAGTCTTATCCTTTCATACTAAATATCTTAGCTCTAGAATTGGCCTTCATTATTAAAATTTTTTGTTTAAATTTTCTATAATATTTAAAAACAAAAGCATAGTTATCTAAAGTTAGTTTCTAATACCAAAGGTCATGTTAAATTATTATTTTTTAAAATATAGCTAATTATGGACAAATAAAATTTAGTTTACTTCTTTTCTAAAATAAAATATTTTCTTTCCCCCAAACTTATGTTTTTTTAATAATAAGTAAACCATGTAGTACAAAAAATAAATTGTAGGAGGAAAGAAAATAGTAAATGTATAAAATTAAGACTAACCTGTAAAGCGTTTTGAACATGCAACTTGGCTCTGACACATTGTAGGTACCAATTTTAAAATTACGGGCTTTAAAGCATTAAATGAAACATAATATATCAAAAGGATTTGCTAAGAAAATGTGAATTAAAAACATACACAATAAATTAAAGAAATAAACAATGCTAAAATAAAAAACTACAATTTACATCTATACACACAAAAAAGTTTTATAATACCACATAAAAACACATAAATTGTCCAAATCATAACAACAACAAATGAAAACAGATAAACCCCAACAAATCATCATTCATCATCTTCCTCCTCTTCTTCTTCCTCTTCAAAATCTTTAAAGTTTTCTTGCACATAAGGCATAATATTGGGGCATGTAGGAAATTTTACAGTATGATCACCCCTAAGATATCTAATCATAGCCTCTTGATATGCAATATCATATTGTACTCTTCTTTGTTGATAATCATCATTATGAGCATTCCTTGATTCCAAACCATCTATTTTGTTCTGCATTGTTACTATATATGATTGTTGAATCATTAGTTGTTCCATAATATTTTCAAGTTAAATAGTATTGGAATTAGATGGTCCTATTGCTGATGTAGAAGGTCTATCTCTACTTCCAACTCTAGATCCAGCAAATCACTCAAATTTATGATCGGTGGGTTTCCCAATAGGTTTAAGTGGCTGTAACATTTCTTCATCCTTATTAAACTCTACTCCTGATTGTTCACATAAGGTGAAATTTAGGGCAAGATAACCTAAACCACTAGAGGTTCCACTCCTCGCAATACTCTGAGCATTATGTAGAATGAGAGCACCAATATCAACAACCTTCATTTGTTGTATGCAAAAATTCAATATTGCTTTCTATTTGGTTACTTCGCTAAGGTTATTAGATGGAAATTGTTTCGCATAAATAAAGTAATGTCATGCTTTAGATTGCACATTTAACATGAAAGTTGAGAAATTTACTTTGTGATTATTCTTAATTTTCCATTCTCCCCTTCCATCAGTAAGATAGGCAATTACTTCATCAAGCAAAAGATAGGCAATTACTTCATCAAGTGATGAATCAGACATCACAAATGCAGAATACTCTCAATGAAATTGATTCCGCAGCCTATATAGTACATCGATCATTTCTCAAGTAAATTCAATATGTTTACCTCTAACATAAACGTGCTAATTAGAAGTCACCCAAAGACTGGCATAAAATTCACAAACAATAGGAACAATTGTTACTGTGGTGTAGTAGCAAAAAATTTTCCAATTCCGAGCAATGATCAACCTTTCAATGTCTCCTCCTGGGTTTGAGAATGCACGCTTCTGAATTAATTTTCTTGTACCCATTTGAGTAACATAATTACACTGAGCCTCAAATTAATAAATTGTCTCGCATCAAAACCTCCCGAAATTTTTCCTCTTTTCACTACTGGAGCCATAGCAATTTTTAAATAAATTAACATAAAATCCCAAATAGATTCACAATATCATAAACAGACTCCAAAAATAGGAATACTTGGTAAGAAACTTTTCACCATGGGTTCTTCTTAAGCTTCTTGGAAAAAACATCAAATTTTTATATTTCCATAATGTAGGAAAAATCTATGGTGAAAATAAAAGATTTCTAAGTTAAAATGGCTCTTACCAAGGGAATATGAAATTTAAAACTTTTTATCCTTCAAATCTCCTCAAATCCAAGAAATAGCAAGCCCTAAGTTGAGTTTTGGCCTTAATCTAGAGGTAGGAGATGACCTAAGCAATAAAAATGGGGTTTTATAGTGGATTTTTGCGGTTTTAAGGAAATTTGGGTGTTTTTGGAAAACTGGTGCCATATATTCAGATTTCATTTTTCTTTTAAAATATGTTATATATACCAAACCAAACCAACCTCTAATTAACTTAAATTAACACTAATACTCATATTAAACAATCTTCCAACAATATATTTTCACAAACAACACAAAACTCAAATTTATATATATAATACACACAATTACAAACCAACATTTTCAAACCAATACATCAAATTTAGCGTTGAAATCACACCACAAAAACTAACACTGAAGACAAAATATCAAATACTTAACATATGTCACATTAAAAGTTCAACAATGAAAAAAAAGGAAATCCAACACAAACATATAACACACAAATGCACTCATAATTACGAATTATATACTTTAGAGGGTTTAAACATCTTCATCACTTTCATCTTCTTGAATATTTCCCATGGATTGGTAGTGAACGTATAAGTTATAAAAAGGTCGGTGAGGAAATTTGTCTATCAAATCTTCTTTAACCCAAGCATTTTTTCTTAAACATATGCACCATACCTTCTTCTATGTGCTTGGTATTTTGAATTGTTCATTCATCATCTAATCCAAATGCTCAAATATATGAGAAATGTTTCCAATTGAATTTATAATATTTTGTACCTCTTTCTCCAACTTCTTTATTCTTTTCAAAAATTCATGTGAACTATAAGGAAAGCAGGGCTGAATAGGAGATGAATTTTGAGATGATTGATCAATAAGAATGTTCATATTATTTTTCATATTATTTTCCTCCCCATTTCTTCCTCCCCATTTCCTATGCAGTTGCAACTTTGAAGGGAGAAGCACTTTTCCCAACTTTCAGAAGGAATTTTTTACTGGATGTTCCGGCCCATAAGTTGGTCCATTTATAATCAAACCCAAAACATATTTTACAATTAAAGCAGCCACATCAATAGGTCTTCCACTCTGAATACAATAATTCAAGATGACACTTTCCTTGGGAGAAGCACTTTTTCCCAACTTTCATAAGAAATTTTTGACTGGATGTCCCAGCCCATAAGTCGGTCCATTTATAATCAAACCCAAAACATATTTTACAATTAAAGCAGCCACATCAATAGGTCTTCCACTCTGAATACAATAATTCAAGATGACACTTTCTTTGGTCACTTTACTGATTTTCAAGGTAGGAAGAAGTTTAGATGAAATAAAGAAATGTCATTTTCTTGATGCAGGATTCAATAATGATGAAGAAAAACTTACATTTGCATTATCTCATGTCTCCCAATTTGCATCTTTATCAATAAGGAATCGATAGACTTCATCCATGTTATCTCTTGTAGGGACAAAATTGGCATAATTACAAATCGGGACGCTTTCAATCATAAACATGTCATTTATTCTTGAAGGATTAAACAATACCCACCTGCCTCGAACATAGACGACTCCCTGGTTAATTCCATAAAGACTAGCATAGAACTCTTTTACCACAGGAATGACTACTGCAGCAGTGGTACAACATAAGACTTACCAGCATCTTTGCACAGTAATCTCATCCTTTCGAGTATTTGGTGTTTTGAATCATCAATTCACAAATCTTCGTTTCTTGATTAATCTCTTCTTCACAATAACTTGATTATATAACTTCTATGCATTGAAATTGATGAACTTTCTTTTATTGAAAATTTCATATCTAGAAGTTTCTTTGGAGTTGGAAGCCATAGGATTTGAAAATGGTGACTTCCTTTTCTATGTCCACTTTTAAATAACTCCAAAATACAGATTTTGGGAGTTACTAGGAAGAAAATTTGACAAAAATTGCCCAAAATCGCCTTTAGTATCTTCCAAATCCATCTCGGTAACCGCGGCACTTCTGACGTCAGCTCTCTGTAAAATGGCGCCTTTGGCGCCAATTCTACCACCTCTGATGCCACTTCATATTTTTACACTGTTTTGCTTTAAATCCAAATAACTCTCAAATTTTTCATATAATTCAGCAATTAAAGATGGTTTAATGTATTTTCTTAATATGTAAGTCTCCCAAGTACACGGAATTCATAAAGAGAGCATAAATATAGATATATATAATACTACTTATAAAAACAAATTCGCATCATTAACAAAAATAACAATGGGTTGTCTCTCACAAAGTGCTTGGTTTAATGTTGTCAGCCAAACATTCCCAGTCTTTACCCTGGATGACTCAACATTATAGTCTTTTTAAAATTTAGCCTTTTACCATCAAAATATGGCTTCAGTATGTGCCCATTTACTTTAAATAACTTTCCAATTTTGGGATCTTCAATATTAACAACTCTATATGGGTATACTCTTACAACAGTGAATGGCTCTGTCCACCTAGACTTAAGTTTTCTAGGGAATAATTTCAATCTTGTATTGTATAGTGAGACTTTTTATCCAGGCTCAATTCCCTTTTTATTATCTTTAAATCATGTCATTCTTTCATTTTCTCTTTAAATATCCTAGCATTATCATAAGATTTATTCTTAATTTCTTCAAGCTCATTCAGTTGCAACAATTTTTTCTCACCAACATCTTTTAAATTTAAATTAAACTCCTTAATAGCCCAATAAGCTTTATGCTTCAATTCTACTGGTAAGTGAATTGAAGCATAAAGCTTCATTCACTTACCAACATCTTTTAAATAAGCTTCATGCTTCATTCAGTTGCAACAATTTTTTCTCACCAACATCTTTTAAATTTAAATTAAACTCCTTAATAGCCCAATAAGCTTTATGCTTCAATTCTCCGGCATCCTTAAATTAAAATTAAATTCTTTAATAGCCCAAAATGCTTTATGTTCCAATTCTAGCTGGTAAGTGACAAGTCTTCAAAAAATTAATCTATATGGGGACATTCTTATGGGTGTTTTATAAGCTGTCCTGTAAGCCCATAATGCAGCATCTAATCTAGCAGACCAATCCATTTTATTAGAATTTACAGTTTTTTTTTAATTCTTTTAATTTCACGATTAGATACTTCAGCTATACCACTAGTCTAGGATAATAAACAGTTGCAAACCTATGTATAATACTTTTCTACCAATATTTTAATTTTTTTCCTAAAATGAGATCCTTCATCGGTAATGATTACTCTCGGCATTTCATATCTTGTAAAAATATTTTTAATTAAAAATCTTGAAACACTCCAAGCACCATCACATCGAGGTAAGGTTATTGCTTCAATCCACTTTGATTCATAGTCTACTGCAATTAATATATGTATATTTTTAAATAAAGGTATAAATGGTCCCATAAAATCCAACCCCCAAACATTAAAAATTTCAACTTCCAAAGTAAAATTTAGAGGCATTTGATTTCTTTTTTAAATATTACCTACTCATTCACATCGATCACATGTTTATATATATATATATATATATATATATATATATCAGTCCATAATTTCCTTGTTTGAATCTCAATGGAGCACTCTGCAAATGGTTGTTTTGAGGGAGATATTAATGTCCTCGGTTCGTGCTGGGGATCCCCTTGCTGCATGGAGTGCAGCAGCTCGTCTTCTAAGATCTTTTTATCCGCTCATCACACCTGCCGGACAGAGTGGTCTTGCAAGCTCACTTGCAAATTCTGCAGACAGACTTCGATCTGGAACACGATGTGCTGATCCGGTTCTTCCTTTCATAAGATTGCATTCCTTTCGAATGCATCCCTCTCAAATGGAGATAATTAAGAGAAACCCAGCCAAAAATGATTGGTGGACTGATTCAGCTCCTTCAGGACCATTTATTTACACACCTTTCAGCAAGGGCGGTACAACTGACAGTAATAAGCTCGAGTTAAATTGGATCGTTGGGGAACCAGATCAAGTTCTGGTGGAATTGGCCAATCCCTGTGCGTTTGAGTTATCGGTGGAGAGCATCTATCTTTCAATTCATTCTGGGAACTTCGATGCATTTCCTGTCAGAGTAAATCTTCCACCAAACACAGCCAAAGTTGTTTTGTTATCAGGAATTCCAACAAAGATAGGCCCTGTTTCAATTCCTGGATGCATCGTACACTGTTTCGGCGTCATCACAGAACATCTATTCAGAGATGTTGATGACTTGCTTCTTGGAGCTGCACAAGGCCTTGTTCTTTCTGATCCTTTCAGATGCTGTGGTTCAGTCAAACTGAAAAATGTTGTCGTCCCAAATATTACGGTGATATCGCCTTTGCCGCTACTAGTTTCTTATGCTGTAGGGGGAGATGGTGCAATGATTTTGTATGAAGGTGAAATTCGTGATATTCGGATTCGTCTAACAAATGCTGGAACAGTGCCAATCGAACAACCACATATATCATTATCAGGGAGGAATCAAAATTCTGTTACCTCTATTGCGCATGAAAGTTTAAATTCAGCGCTACCTTTGAAACCTGGTGCAGAGGTTAGCTTTATAGTGACTATAAAGGCATGGAAGCTTAGTTTGGCAGATTCTGGTCATGATCCTGGCAAGAACACTTCTGGTGCTACGAGGGGTGTGTCTACGGAAAGCAGCAATCCTTTCTTAGTTATCCACTGTGCTGGGCCAATATCACATACGGATGAATTCTATTCCAGCGAACCATCTGTATCTCCAGGAAGGCGCTTGGTTGTTCCATTGCATGTTGGTGTCGTACAGGGATTGCGTTTCGTAAAGGCTCGCTTATTTTCGATGGAAATTCCCGCACGTGTTAGCGTTGCCGTTCCGCAGCGTGTTTCCCTTAACGAAAGTGATGCTGAAGAGATTACTGCTCATAGTAGAATTGATAGTTTGGTTAAGATTGATCCATACAGAGGAAGTTGGAGCTACGGCTTCTCGAACTCGAGTTATCAAATCCAACCGATGTTGTGTTTGACGTTAATGTTTCAGTCCAGTTCGACACCGCTGAATTTGGGTGCCCGAAGACCAGAATCGACCACAACTGCTCTGCGCGTGTGTTGGTACCGCTCGAGCACTTTAAGCTACCTGTTCTCGATAATTCCTTGTTCGCTAAAGATCTAAAAAGCACTGCTTTTGTAAGCAAATCTTCGAGTTTTGCGGAGCGGAATACGAAGGCCGAGTTAGCCGCTTCAGTTTCCAACTTGGTTTCAAAAATAAAAGTAAGATGGCGATCAGGGCGAAATAGTTCGGGTGAGTTGAACATTAAGGATGCAGTCCAGGCAGCTTTGCAGACTTCAGTAATGGATATATTGCTTCCGGATCCTTTAACTTTTGGATTCAGGTTAACCAATGGGAGATCTAAAACAGAAAATATCGCTGATGCTTCAAAAATTGTGCATAGTGATGTGATTTAAGCATTGCACCAGAGTTCTATATCAGTACATGAAATGACTGACATCGAAGTTCTGATTCGCAACAACACGAGGGAGTTGATCCAAATGAGCCTTAGTATCAATTGCAGAGATGTGGCTGGGGATAATTGCATTGAGGGCGATAACGCGACCGTTCTATGGGCTGGTATCCTGAGTGGAATCAGTTTGGAGATCCCTCCCCTGGAGGAGTTGGTGCATCCTTTTTCGCTGTATTTTCTGGTGCCGGGAGAGTGCACGCTGTTAGCTGCAGCTATAATAGACGATGAGAACGATGTGCTTCGTGCTCGAGCGAGAACTGATTCAGCAGATGAACCAATCTTCTGCCGCGGCTCGCCTTTCAGAATCATTGTCACTGTAACTCTTTAAGCTGTGGTTTGCTACTCTCCTATTTCAGTTTGGTATTGTAAATTAATATTTTGGCTCTCAATTCCCTTAATTATCGCTTATATATATATATATATGGTGCATTTATATACACTACATAATTTGAATGTATTTATATATCTAGCACTTAAAGATTCATATTCATATGTAATATGCATATAACTCGAATGTCTAACATTACATTAAGGGAAATTTACATACACGGCACTTTGGTGTTTTAAATATAATATATATATATATATATATA